GAAGATCTGGGGTTCGCAGCGCAGTGCAGAACCACATGCGACAAGATTTCCTCCCACTGAAACAGTCTGGAAACCCTGTCTCTCTGAGGGATGTGTCACTTGGAAAAATGTTCTTTTTATGAAATTATGAAACTTTGGCTGAACAGCGCTTGTTTCCGTCTCTAATATGGAGACGCATGACGCGTAGAGACATTTGATTACGCACAAAGTTTATGTGGAGCAGAAGCGGTCGGGCCACGGCAGGTGAAACGTTCCTAGCCTACATGAAGTGGAACTGTTTAATTGTAACATTAATATGTTACACGCTGGTCTGGTTGGTTAGACCAGTGTTTGAAGTGGAAAACAAACAAACACACACACACACACACACACACACACACACACACACACACACACACACACACACACACACACACACACACACACACACACACACACACACACACACACACACACCAATTAAAATAATGCTGATAGCGTGGACTAGAAGACAGGTGATGGTTTACGTGTTTAAATGATGATCAGGCTGCTGTAAAATGTAATCTCCATCCACATCCAGACACAATTATCCTCTATTCTTTCTCTAGTCGCTCTGCTCTTGTCTGGGCCGATCAGCTGATGGTGCGCGCGACGCGCCTAACTAGCGGCTGATGCACATTTTACGCATTTGGAGAGGTGGGCTGGATGCTTTGCGTTTACTGGAAGATGGTCCACTTAACGCACGGGTGTAGACTACATATTAATGACGAATGAATGTAAATTAAATTGTGAGTTTTTACTTCATATTTTATAAATAAAAATGACGGGGGAACACATTTATGACGTCTTTTTAAACTAAATTTTCTAGCACGAACTGCCTGCTTCACTTAAGTCACTGCTTATTAAGGTCCGTCTAAAATTACTGTGGGAAACGGGTAATAATGGCTCGTTGATGGGAACAGGTTGCCGACCCCTGGTATAAGATCTGAGCTGGTAAAACAAAAATCCTCATCTGCAGGCGTTTTTGAAAGTGGGGGGGACACAGCTGCCAATCACAAATTTTGCCGGGGACATGTCCCCGGCGTCCCCGGTTAAAATGACGCCTATGCCCACGAGAGTATTGATGATGGGTGGATGGATGAAAACGAGAACAACAACCATCCCCTCCTGCAGAACTAACTTGAAGGTTATAAGACTGAGCTGTTCCTGATGTTAGTTTCTTGGATTTGTATCAACATTTGCCACAATATTGGAGTTTTCTGTGATATTCTCTGACTTTCTGACTTTGTTTTATTTTGAAAGTTTCTCCCTGCATGGTAGTTATCCATTTACTTATTCAGCTAATTTTTTTCATTTCATCACCCATCTGATCATCAACCAAGCTGCTCTCAACCAGTAATCACCCAGGAGAAAAACACATAAACACAATTGTTTTGGTCAGTACTGACATTATAATAATAAAATAATTATGAAGGCTGCATGGTGGTGCAGCAAGAAGGCCACTTGTTCAAATCCCAGCGGTGGCCTTTCTGCACAGAGTTAGCATGTTCTCCCCATATATACATGGGTTTTCTCCAGGTATTCCAGCTTCCACCCACAGACCAACAACATGAATGTGAGGTTGAGTGGCTACTCTAAATTGCCCCTAGGAGTAAGTGTGGTTGGTTGGGTTGTCTACGTGGCCCTTTGATGGACCGGTGCCCTGCCCTCTTGCCTGTTGACTACTGAATATAAGCACCAGCTCCCTTTGATCCCAGTGAGGATGAAGCCGTTTGGAAAATGGATGGATAACTCGTTGGGTTAAGAATCAAATCAGCAGGCAACTTCAGAATTGTTTTAATAGGAAACAGTAGAAAAGAAGAATACCAAGGCCTGAGACAGGGACGAGGACGAAAACTGCAGAATATGACAAAAAGTGAGCTGATGAACTGATGAAAAACATGTGGGTAACAACACTGACTGAGGAGCTGAGGGGAAAACTAAATGAACAGAATCCATGGATCATGACATTTTTTGTCCTTTTTTATAATAAAACACATATAAGTGATTTACAAAGTGATGTCCATTTAGAAATAAGTTACACATATAAACAAAGGATTGATCAGCCACAAGAACAGAACATTCGGAGAAAGAATTGCTACAAAAGCAGAGAAGGGGTGCTTCAGGAGCCTCCCTGCAACTGGAATAGGACCCTTCCAAAGACTGGGTCCAAAATGTGCTGGAAGATGCCAGTGTTTCCCTTACATAGGACGAAATTCCAGCACCAGCCGCTGCCTTTTTGTGATGACCTCTATATTCTTTGTAGAAATGTTGTAAGGCTCTTTCCTTCTTCTTTCCTGTGATCCAACTTCAGATAAGCGGCTGAAAATGGACGGATGACTTCCAAAGCCAAATGTGAAAAAACTTTTTGATTATGATTATTTTAGGTGATTTTGTGATAATTGGAGTCCAGATTAGAACACTAATTTGGTTAAATGGAGAGCCCTAACCGTTTTGTCTGTCTACCTTCATGTTTAGGTTTCTCTCTGCTGCCATGTCATCAGCTCTTGTTCTTCACTCAAAGTTTTAGTTTTCATTTAACGCATCTAAGTCGATCCAGGTCGATCTTACAGTAATAGGCTGGGAATCTTTCTACTAGTTTATGTGCGCATTAGAAAACCGACGTCCCAAGTAAACTTAGTTCCGCTCCGGTACAGTAGGTGGCGACATGCGCTCTTTCATGTTGGCATTCTTCTGGTTCACTTATAGAAGCACAAACAGAACACGCTGGTAGGAGTGAAGCAGACGGAATTGAAACAGGACATGTACAATAGCTTAAGGAATGTACAACAATGCTGCAGCACAGCTTATTTGGTACGTACCGTCCTGTTTTACGGTGTTACCCGTGTTAATTTGTGGCGATGATATTATCAGAAGACCGCTTCCGCCGTCTCGTCACTTCTGGAAGGCGAGCATCCAACCGTTAGCTTGGCTAACCCGGTTACATGCAGAATGTATTTGGATTGCCGCATTATCTGGGTGCTTCAACTCGATTAGAACCAGTTCACCATCAGCCAGACTAACGAGTTTACATGCATCTAAAAAAAACCCGATATGAGTCGTTTTAGGGCAATACTTCGGTTTTCTGATCAACATGTAAACGCAATGAATGTTCCAATCTTAGGTCTAGGGTTGTCACGATACTAAAATGTCAAGCTCGATTCAATTACTTGAAGAAAAAAAACTCGATACTCGATTTCGATACTATTTAAAAACACCAATTTATTGAACAAGTTTATTCAAAAATTAACATTCCTCAATTTATATTGCAAAAATTAAATGTTAAGAATTAAGTGTGTAAAGTATCAGCATTTTTTAAAACGTGCATACAAAAACTGGCAAAAGTTAACACTTTAAATCATGAATTGTCTCACTATATATACACTATTTGCAGAGTGATGTTTTGCTGCTTAAACTCTGTTTAAGGTGCATTTTTGTCATAAGATGTAATGCCATATGTTTTGTTCTCTACTTTTGAACAACTCTGTTGGTCAATAAAGGGAGAAAACAAATTTCTATAACAGTAAGACAAAGGTACATCTACCGGTAATCTTAATAAAAACAGACTGGCGCACGGCAGTGACGTCATTAAAAGCGCCGGTTAATTAGCCGCAGCTAGTCTGTTCACGCCTAGAAATCCCAGACCAGACCCGCTCCAAACGAACAGGGAATCACGTTAATGATTCCTAACAAAACCTTTCGACATGAAGATGTTTTGGTGCAGATAATGTCTTATTTCGAGGCTGAACCATGGGTGCCCGTCCGCACCCGTTATATGGATATACACTGACGGCGATTCGCCGATGGATCTAAATACCCCGGGGAATCCAAGTAGCACTAAAGTTGTCAGCGTGAGTAAACAAACGTACTGCATGCTAGAAATTAAGTCCGGGTTGCAATAAACGGGAGTTTTCCTTTAAGCACATAAGCGTGAATATACAACTACACGTCGGACTTGGTATGCTAATTAAGTTGGGCTGTGAAGCGCCTCCCAAATTCGCTGTTTATGTTTTTGTTTATTTTTTTGGCAGACAAAACTTGGATCGGAGACAACTCGCGTGGGAAATTGCAATGTAGCCATGCGGCGTCTTCTGTTTGTCTGGGAGGCGGAGGCGGCTTTACGGCATCTGGCTGTGGTGCGTGTCGGTGTACTTGAAGAAGGCTGTCCATAATATCGATACCACAGGGATGGAATATCTAATTTAGATACCACTTTTAGCATCGATTTATATCTAGGTATTGATTTTTTTGACAACACCACTTAGGTCTACAGTAAAAATGAACCAATAAAATTAAAAAGCCAGGATTTACTTGTGTATTAACATATGTTTTAGCATGACGTTCATTAAAACATTAAAAACTTAGAATAGGTTTAAACTGATTGAACAGATTTCCTGACTTCAGCAGATCAGTGTCCCTTAAATTCAACGATGTGATTCTCACCCTAAAAATAAAGACTTTGACAGTCTAACGTGCTTCTTTTGTTCAAAAGATTATCAAGTTTGTGCTCAGCCGCTGTTGCAAAGCTACTTAAAAATGCAAATAAGACAAATGCCAAATCCAGTTCTGTGAAAAGCCTCCCAGCGTGTTAATGAAGCATCTGTAAGAAAAAAAATCGGCTCTGTTTTCTTTGGTTGAAAGAAAATGTGCAAAACGAGCGTTCGCGTGTTAAATATAAACTTTAGTAAAAGTCAAACAGGGGTTAAAGCTCGCAGAGCTCCGAGTCAGCTCTGAGTAGGTGGGCTGTGATAGGCACACACCAGCAGACACATTCAGGGAGCTGTCACATCTCCACCCCACCACCCCCTTCTTAAAGCCACGGCGGGCCACCTCTCCCTGACCTCTGCCTCCGGAGTTCAGGCCCCTTTTACTCCACAACCGAACAAACTGAGCAACACTCAGCAACAATCCACCAAACACAAAAATATAGCACAAACAACTAGAAATACCCTCCTGCAGGTTGGAAAAGCTTATCTCAGTACCTGGCAGACTTCATAGAGTAGTTTAAATTGCTGCTCAGGCTTCCGTAGGGAACAGAGGCTGCATCCCATGGTGGTGGAGATGAAACCATCCAGGATCTCCCTCCAGCCTCTGGAACAGGACACAACAGCAGCTCTCTGAGCCTTTCTTCCACAGCTGCGAGACGACTTTAGCTGCTGGGACTGACTCCCCCCAGCTCGTGTCCGTATCTCAGCTCGATGGCCCCCCTCCTTCCTCCTTGCCTCGCACGCTCGCTCCCTCCCTCTCCGCCACTCTGCAGCCCACTGCTGAGCTTTTGGAGGTCGCTGCCAGATCCCTGTTATATACACCCCTTCATGTTTAATAAACAGCTGCTCATTGATTATTCATGACTGAGGAGGGGGTGGGGTGGGGGGGGCTTACTCATGAATGGGACTTACAAAGGGAGGGATGAAGCCTACTTAATTAATGAGCATCATTAGATGTGGAAACACGGCGAGTTACATAAAGGATTTTGGTTTCATGACGAGACAATTATGTTCCTCCTGACGGCCTCCAGAAACTCGTCTGTTACAGACTTTTAATTTGAAATTCAAAGAAGCGTCCATCTCTGATGACAAATAAAGAGCAGCATGCAAAACTCTGCAGCTTTCACTAGTTAAATTAGCACTAGGTGATCTCTGGTATGCTAATCCATCAGAAACATGTTCCTGCCCAAAAACACACAGTGGGAACAAGTAAACCAGATAAACATTTATGCTGGCTTTCTGCTGTGCAGACAGACAATTTACCCAGCGGGGTGTCTACAGCGCAGCCACATCCGGCTCTCCGGGTCCGTCCGTGCACCAACACTAGCTCCATAAACCCGATCTGGCATCGTCTGCTTGCAGAACTGAAGATCCATCAGTAAAAGATGAAAGATCAACAAAGGCTTTCAGGTTTCTTAACTAAGCAGAGATGAAGTGATAAAACAAGACGTATGTTTTCACCGTTTCACAATTTGATGCACTTCTTACGTGAGATCCACTGAATTGTTTTGGTTAAGTCTCGTGCTAAACCCCACACTTGGATCGATTTCACAGCAGGACTTGGAGTGGAGGGGTTGGTCCTGTGGGAGAAACCCTAAAGATGCTGGTGATAGTGATATTTCCTGCAGCCAGATGTGTCCTCTGATCCGTATCTATCTGCACCTCCAGAACTACTCAGAACCAGCAGTGCTACAAGTACAATGGTTTCTATTCAAATGCAATGACATTTTCATGTTTTTTCTTCAAACATCACAAATCACAAAAGGCTCCCGCTTGGAGAGTGAACTGCATATTTTATCCCTCCTGTTAAACTTGACTTTTTCAGGTGACTAAGGCCCTGTCCACACGTAGTCGGGGATCTGCCAAAACGTAGATATTTTTCTACGTTTTGGCCTGTCATCCACACGAAAACGGAGTTTTTTCACACGAAAACGGATCTTTTTAAAAACTACGGCCAAAGTGAAGATCTGCGTTTTCTCTGTTTTGGGTGTCTGCGTGTGGACAGACAAAACCGGAGTTGTAAGGTCCGCAGCGTCACTTTCCGCGACAAAAAAATGCTGACATCACATGTGCGACCTGTGTTTACACTAGCCGGCATCATGGATGCCCTCAGAGCTGCACTCGCTTTATCAATTGTCCAAGCGCTTTTTGCTTGTTTGTTTTTGCAAGCGGAATTACTGCTCCTTGCGGAAGACCACAGACGAAGGACGAGGTTAAGAACGGGGAAGTACTGCCGCCTACAGGTCTGGCATATCCTTAACAACGTATTTATCCGGGTACGTGTGGACAGAGTTTTGTTTTAAAACGAGGTGGTGTGGATGCAAGTTTTTGGAGGGGCGGATATTCGTTTTTTTTAAAAACCCGGCTACGTGTGGACTAGGCATAAAGCCGGTATTTCACTGGGCTGCAGCAGCTGATGACAAATAACGAATGAAGTATGCAAGAGTTTTCAAAATGCCTCAAATGTTCTCAACGGTTTTCACATGCTCTGATGTCAGTGCTGCTTGATTTGGTCTCAGAGAGTGACAAAGTACAAGAAATGAGCCAAGACCATCAATCACAATTTCAGGGTGCTACTAATTTGTGACCAGACCAGTATTTCACAGGGCTCTACAGTAAGCTGAGAGGAGTTGGGTGACACATTCTCATTTGGAATCACACAGGAATGGAAACGATAGCTTGTACTGTAAAAACAGAGAGTGTTGTGACGAGGTGAGTTAAAGCATTAGGCAAGCAGCCAAATGAATTACTTCTGAAAGGAAGGACAATAAAGCCGACTTGTGATTTTGTGTTTAACTGCAGCTGCAGCATCTTGAAACTGATTGTTGTCATGCAGCTCAACAGCTTAGGTCACTTCCTGATTTCATCCAGGGTTTGTCAGACACACTCTTCCAGAACTGTACTGCATTTTGAATTTTCTGAATAGAAAAGAGTTCCTGATGCCTGTGACGACTTTGCTACTTTACTCGAAGTAAAACTGAAAAACAGTAAAGCAAGAGTCTAAAACCCTCAAGAAGACATTCAGAAAGAACATTTTAAACATTTCATTGAATCCCAAGTGTTTTATGCATAGATTAAACATAATCCCAATTGAGAATGAGCAGATTTTCTTGCAATTTCATCTCAAACTTGGGAAACATCGCACCCTGCTGAAATACTGGCTTATAATCGACCTTTTTCTACTTTTGCTTCATGTGGTTGTATTTGGGTTTTAAAACAGAAATCTTCACCTGTTTTTTCCCACATTAAAATGGCAGACTATTGGAAACTCTGCTAGGACAGATTTTAACTGAGATCCACACAGCAGAAGAAGACCCACTGCTGCCCGAGGCGAACACCGGAGGTATCCGTGTGAAATTAACAATCACTCATTATCACAGTGGGCTTTGCTCGTCTGGGTCCGAAAGGCTCCGACTTTTATCCAGAGAAGCATGAAAACTAATTCTCTGTTCACATTAGCTGCACTGTTGTGCCTGGGGCTGGGATCAGTGGAGAGTTTAAGCCTGTGCTCTTGCCTGGCTAATCTTTCTTTCACACTTAGATTATCCCATTCACCCAGTCAGCGCAGCAGCAGCGCTCCAATATGAACAACCGCACCAAAGGTCACAGCAGCTGTAGCAGGAAACGCGTGCATATGAATGAAAACACAGAAATGACTCCAAACCGGTTCAGACGCCGGCAGCAGGTTCTTTGTGTCAACATCTGTCCAGGAGAGTGAAAGCTGCTACTCAGTCTGACATCACGGTTCTGTGTTTTGATCAGTGGATTCCCTCAGAGGGACATGTCAGCTTTAATCTGTTCCTGCCCTGGACATGACACCACCATGAGCTGCTGTCTCAGTGGGACCGAGACCAAGCGATAACACTATTCTGTTTGTCATAACAAATATCAACATTTGGGTTTGTGGCGAGAAGATGGCCAGAGGTTACCACGTCCCATCCCAATTACCAGCATGGTGCTTTCAGTGTTCGGGAGCCAGAGCTTTTGATCTGTGGCCCAGCTGGGTCATTCATATTCATAGAGGCTGCCCCGCATTGCGTCTCCATCCCACTGGACCCATTTAAGAGTCATGACTTCAACGGGAGCCTCAGAGGGATCAGGTGGTGATTGCCGCTACACTGTCTTTATAAGACTAATGACTCACCTTCAATTCTTTTGCAAAGCCTCCCAATAATTCCCCCTAAATGAAACAATCCGATTCACAGTCACACTAATATTTGCCCATTTAAAATACTCGCTCCAACATACTGGTATTGCTGGTCTGTCAGTGAATTCCAAAGCGAAGGAAAAAAAAGTCATTTAACATCCGAATGGCTGAAACAAAAACTACACAGGAAATCAAAACTATAATATCCACAGTTAATTTTACACAAATTGTAATCAAACTCAGAAAACTTTGAATTTTTCACTTTTTTATGTTAACTAGATTCAACCACAGCTAATCTCAGCCAACACAAAATGGTCAAAACACCTAAATCTTCGTTTGGTCATAGCGGAACGGTTGCAGAGAGACTTCAAGGTTGTACGCAGGGCTGGGCGATACATCCTAAAATCAATATCACGGTATTTTGAGGATTCCACCTCGATACCGATAAATGGACGATAACTACAGGTATGCACAGAAACAAAAGTTGTCCACTAGATGGGGCTGTCACGTGTGTTACTTTGCGTTATCTTTATGTGACTCAAGGTGGTACAACTTCTAAAAGGGACATAAATGTTACCAACCTGCACACATCTTCTCATTTTTTTTAATTATCAGATTTATTGACACGGGAAAAATGTTCTCGATTGCAAGAGTTAGAAATTTTGACAAAGATACATTTTCGATTTCTTGCCCAGCCCTAGTTGTACGTGATGTTATTTTCACTGTTTGACCCAAAACATTTTACATAGTAAGGATGAGCCTTTAATTTCAAGTTACTGTGCATAAACATCACAAATATTTTACAAATACAATTTGACTAAAGTCCTCATCATAGCATTTTACAAGCCTAATGACCTTGCATGGTGACTTTATCCAAACACATCTGTCTTTTTATTAGGTTCTCAACAGCATTTAGATTAGTGGCTCTTCCTGAGAAGTTTATTTCTTGTTTTCTGTGTGAATCCGGTCACTGTCCTGCAGCAAGAGACAAACCCTCCATTCCTTTAAAGGTCTTGGTATCTTTTTTGCTCATGTTATCCATCCGATGACTCCGTTACAAGAAACAGCTAGGCAGCCTTACAACTTGGTGTTTAGCTGTTTGAATGGGTGTTCTTAAGTTTCTCGTCCATAAAGGAAATAATGAACTGTGCTACTAAACTTAGATTTACTCTGTTCATGGACCATCAGCTCAGAGAAGCTTATCCGACAGGTTTACTGCAATGCTAAAGAGCTCTGTAGGCTCCTTCCTACTCACTGGTGAATAAACAGTAAGTTGTTTTTCGAAAAACTGCACGAGCACAGTTTATGAGACGAACTGATCTGTGATCCAATCCTCTGAAGGATGCAGGATTGGCATTTAATCCCTTTAATCCCCTTAAAAGAATTAGTATTTTTACATGTAGTATTTTCAACCACTCATTTTCTCAATTCTCAACATGTTTCAGTGCTTTACAGAAAAGCAACAGAGCTCATCACACATAACCCCCCTTTGTCTAGAGTCCATATGGTGGCATTCACTCAGATCCATGAAGACGTTTGTAACCTGAACACTATTTTCAACCTGCCATATGGCAAAACCAGGAGTCGTTTATCTCTCAGTCATCAGAGCAGAGGCGGGGCTTTAAAAATCAGACTTAAGAGGGTGTGGAGTAAACGTCTGCAGAAGGTGACGATGTGGCACCATGCAAAGAAACTGGACACTGATGACTGGGAGATAACAATAGCTGAAAGCATGATATCCGGGTCCAAGGCACGACTTTAATGCTCCGTCCAGACGGCAGGATGGGGGAGGACGGGAGGAAGGAAGGGATCAGGAATGAGATGGTGACTGAAGAACTGCTGAAGCTGAGTTTTATAAATCCGTGAGAAGAAGCCTCTAATGTGACTTTAGACGGTATTGATTAACATTATTTATGATAGCACCAGGGCCCTCGTTCATCAGACGTTCATAGAAATAATCCTATATTCCTTCCTATGACCGAAATTCAGGATGCTTGTAGCAACGGTCACATTTCTGATTTATGAAACATGCGTTGGCCTCTCATAAGAACTTTCCTCCGCAATCGTCCGATGATAAATCCCACCAGTGTGTACCCAGGTGCTCATGTCCTTTATGAAGAGTATGAATCGTAACAGCTTGTCATTTACATTTTACATTTAAGGAGCGGTTCTGTTTGGAGTTACCTACATTTGGAAATGGCTGACACTGTCCTTCAGTCTGGTTACCTTGGCGTGCATGATTGGGGAGCAGAGGAGGTTCTGGGTAGCCTAGTGAACTAGACCAAATTCTTGCTTTGCAAAGAATGGTCTAGGCATGCTCCACTGGAACCTCAGCAGCTCCTACCAGGACTCTGGCTAGCCAATCACAGCTCTCTAGAGGGGTTTCAAACACACAAAGAGCTGTGATTTGTCCATAATGGTGGGCCAATCATAGTGCTCTATCTGCTTAGTGAACAAATCACAGAGCTTTATCCGCTTTGTGGGCCAATCAGGGCACTCTATATGCCTGGTGGGTGGGATGATGCAACAGAGTGAAACAAGAGTATGTCACATTCATCGTCCAGTGGAATCGAATGCGGAGATCATTTGAAAGACAACGGTAGAACCCGCCCCACAACCGATAGCCGTCAATGGAGCATGGCCAGACTAAATAATACATTTATTTAGTCTGGCTTGCCAGGCTAGGTTCTGGGAGGTTCTCGTAGTTGTAAAGGATGTAGAGCGGGTTGTCCAGTAATCGGAAGGTTGCAGGTTCTTGTGTCCTTGAGCAAGACACTTAGCCCCCTTTGCCTGCTGGTGGTGGTTGGAAGCCCCGCCTCTGTCAGGGTGCCCCAGGGCAGCTGTAGCTACAGTGTAGATTTGAATCCATTGTGGATTTGTTTTTAGTTGTCGGGTCCCTTCATTCAAGATATTTTTAGCTAATCAATACGGTCCGAACAGCAACTTTGGTCCTGGTTGGTTTCCGACTAGCTGGGATGTCAGCTCTGACAGGTTGAAGAGAAGGTAGCTATACAACAAGTAAAGTTGGGATCAGATCTAATTTCAACACAGAAACATTTCAAAGCGGCAAAGAAAATCCATTTTTACAGTAGTTACATTACTCATTCTTCCTGAGTTAGGAAGTGAAACCAAGCATAGATTGAGAAAACTTCAATCTGAACATATATTTGTGCAAAAACAAGTTTTGTCTGAAATTCCATAAAGTAGTTGTTAACATATTTGGAACACAGCCTGCCTCAAAAAAAGATCCAGGGGAGCCGATTTGGGTCGTGACTATTTCCTTTTACTCATATCGGCCCTCAAATCTGTCAGAGGAGGAAGGAGCTGTAATTCTGCAGAGTTAATGAAGATACCAGATGAGCAAACCGGAGCAACGAGCAGCAGTGAGAGCTAACAAGAGGGACGTTAAGAGAAGGTGTGAAGACAGAGACAGGAGACAGACAGGACCCACAGAGGGCTAAACGAGGCAGAGGTAGAAACTAAACGTGTGGAGGAGCTTAATGAGTCTCCAGGTCCTCCCAACTGTACCACTGGGGCATGTGTGTGTGTGTGTGTGTGTGTGTGTTGTGTGTTGTGTGTGTGTGTGTGTGTGTGTGTGTGTGTGTGTGTGTGTGTGTGCCTACCTCTGAAACACTGGGCTGTGCATAATTTATCAGACAGCTGTCAGCTTTGTACTCCCATTTACTTTGCAAGGCAAATTCAAGGCCAACAGGGATCGGAGCCAGTAGGAATGACAGCCACCAAAACTGTTTAACTGGATAATCAAACCTCTAATAATCCCATCACTGTCTCTTTGGTGTAAGCGCTCAAGAATGAAGGCATGTTAACAAGAGTGACATGCTCAGATGCAATCACATTCTTGTTATCCGCAAGCACAACACCAGAAACTTTTGGGATCTTTATATTTTATCAACAGAATATACAAATTCATGGTGTTTGCACTTTCCAGAGCAGTTTCCTTTCTCCAGAGCCTGTAGGTAAATGTGAATGATTCTCCTCTCGGCTGTGAGAAAATGCCCTCATTTTTCTCGACTTGGAAAAACAGCTTCAGGCGTTTGTTTTGCTGTGGTCACTGAGGTGGCTGGCTCAGTCTTCACACCACAGAAGTAATTATCACGTTATAGGTGTGCCTGCCAATTTTACTTGCTAACGTCTGCAAAGATTGTCCATTTCTGAGATTTTTAAGTTTAAACAAGGCATAAAACTATAAAACATAACTTTCTGGATTTGAAAAAGCTTGTCTTTGCACCAAGTCGACACAGACATCAATGGAAGGGATTTAAGTGTTAATTAATTGGATTTAAGTTGGATTAATTAACTCCTGCAAAGAGTTTCTTGGCTTGGTCCCCTAACCAATCACCACCAGTGGCAGAGGAGTATTTACCTGCATGCCTAACCTTTGCTACTGTTTGATCACAAGTTATAACAAAACATGATTTATGTAAATTCAGTCGCTTTTCTGCAAAAGGTAACTAAAGGCTCTTGTCAGCACAGCTATTAGGGAATGAGTTCATATTTCCTCCACTCTCCTGCGCTAAGACCACGGCTCTGGAGTGACTTCCTTCTGAAGCCGATTCTGTAGGGCTCTGCCAACTCTGCAGTCCACACAGTTCCTGTCACCAGCTAATTTGCCAAAAGCCTTCATCACCGCTTTCTGCTCCAGCACACCGGCAGCCAAAGTCACCAGCAAAAGCCTCCAGCTAGCCTGGGAGCTGAGTGAGAAAGTGTGGGCACACAGAGCTCCTACAGAGCAGTGGGCAAAGCTGGGAGCTTACAGAGTGGAATTGTTCTGGACTACGGAAGACGGAAGGGATCTGAAGTTAACTGTGTGAAGTTTCATCCGGGACTTAGACTGGACAGTTGGATGTTGTCCTCTCACACTCCAAACTCTTTCTGACTTGCTTTCTTTGCATTTCTCCACCTCATCCATCATTTGAATAAATTTGACACCTAAAGTGTTACCAGGATGTTGTTGCCATAGTTACACGCATCTTTATCACCGTGACAAGCCAAAAGGGTCACAATTCGCCTGGCGAGCATCTCCTGGCATCTATTCAAAGCGGTTCATAGCGCCCCGCATTTATTAAGTGTCTGGGGGTGCTTGTATAATTCCTCTTGGCACATATTTAGCACCCTCTTGTGATAAAATAATTTAATACCTGGTGGTGTTATATAAGCACCACCTGGCGTTTATTGATGAATCCTGCACTCCAGCTTTTCTCAGCCAAACAATTTATATGCTCATTATCTAATGACAGCCTTACAGAGCCAGAGAAAACTAATAAAGAACCAATGCTGGCTGGAATTTAAGCAATGATGGAGGGACGTCTAACCTTTGGGTTGGCTTAGTACCCCCCTATTATTCCTAGCAATTGACTTTTAGACATATGGAAGACCCAAGGCGTCTGTTGTCTAGTGGCTCTGGGTAACTGAGGGTAAAGGGTTCTGGGCCACATAGTGGAAACACACCTGAACTAATGATGAAGTTACTATCCAACATTGTAATTAGGCAGATTTGTCAAGTTTAAGGGCAGCTCCTTCTCATTCCCACATTGTTGAAGGTTCTGCAAAAAAAGTGGTCGTTCACAAATATGACTCCTGTACTTCCATTCCCTCTCCAGTTACCATTGTTTTCCTTGTTCTTACACGAAAGGCACTTGCAACATCTGTTCCAGGCTTTTCCTGCTTTATCCACATAGCTGGAAGTACAGCTGATTCTGCAAACGTTTCAGTGCCTGTCCGTTACTATTAGTTAACCGGGTCTCTGGAGTGGAGAAAAGAGCCAACCAGTTGGAGTGAAAGCTTCCAGTGAGTTATGGACTCATCCCATTACATTACAGTCATCTTCCAAATGAAAAGCTCTGGGTGAGAGGTGAGGTCACTGAGAGGTAAGCGACTGACATGCTGATTGACATCAGTCAACTGTCTCCATGTCCCGACAGACAGATATGTTTAAGAGCTGGAGGCCGACAAATCGATGAGCCCATCGCCCCAGAGGGGAAGGCTATGTTTTACACAGAGTCCTGTCTTCAGCGCTCAACAGAAAACTGGATGAAATCGCTAGTGATGCTAACTGGATGTCCTGACCAGTCCATAAATCTCTTTACTAGATGACCTCTGGCCCATTAGCCTGGACAAGGCAGTGACCTTAAAGGTCTACTTGGGAAATCATTGCCTCCCTGTTGTTTCTGCTGGACCAGTGAGCAATTTCAAAAGAGATGGCCATTGTTCTTCAAACTGCCAGGCTCCACCGGCTTCCAGATGACACAATCTGAACATCAGGTTCAAAGATGGTTAGCCCTCCCCGTGGCTGATATGAAAGAGTGAAACACGGGATGAGCTTTTAGTCATGAAACATGCTTTATGATCCCTTAGAAGATACAAACATTGGAGTCCATTTGTTTTATGGACCTTTCAGAGTTCGGACGCATCTCTAATCCAACTGAAGACAAACTGAAGTACATTTTAATCCTGAACTCTTTCTCTTAAAGAGCAAGTCACCCCCTGCCAGATTCTTACTCAACTCCCACTTCCTGCTTGAAAAATGCAACAAATGCTGTTGCCAAGCAGACCGAGAGGGCGGAGCCTCTAACAAATACACACACTCACGGCATTGTGACATCATAATGTACCATCTAACATCATAGTGTACCTCTTAGCCAATAGTGATGGCAGATTTAAATTCAAATGCAGTGCTGAGTTTTTGCCTGACGACAGTGCATCGCTGACAGTTTTAGGCAGAATATTTAAATTTTAACTGAGATGCACTAAAGTGCCGAATTATTGACTAAATTTGTCTACAGCACAATTGGACACTCATTTATATAGTCTATCAGCAAAAAAATGGTGATTTGGAGTGACTTGCTCTTTAAACCAATCTTTGGTTTTTAAGTGGTGTGAAATCATACAAAATTGAATCATTTAGCGATGAATCCCAAAGGATAGACTGGTTTGAAGATGAGAGCTGACCTTATGATTAAACATTTAATTTGCCCCCCCCACCCCCCCACCCTTTGAAAGTATGCATGAGCACTGATAGGGTGGATAGAAACCACATACAACAAGACCTCCTTCTTTCAGCAATTAGACTGAAAGTCATATAAAACCATCAAATGTGATCTTGATTTTTACTAAACCAAACAGTGAAACAACTGGAAGGCGCCATGTTTGGCTGTTGTTGTTTGCCCCATCACTGATAATGTAAAAAGCCCAGAGTGGTCTGAAATGAAGATTGAATATTCGTAACGCGTCTCCTCGTGATAAGGCAAACCAAGTTTTCCTGAAGTTGATTCAATTATCACCTCCCACAGATTCCAGCTGGTCCCGTTCTCCAACGCAAACCCGGCGCTTCCTACAAGTGTCAGGCTTTTAACAAAGGGCATGCTAATGACATTAGCTAAATGGAAAATTAAATTACACGTGTCGATGGGAGCACTGATGAGATTGTGCCAATTGGTTTTCAGAGTGCAAATAAAATCATTCAGGGTGTTGATGTATTACTGTAGCCACGGAACAAACAGAATTCCTGTTTGATGCTCTGAGTTCCGATTTATGGTAGAATGTAACAGATTCAAACTACGCCTTTTAGGATAATCTGACCTAACGTTGAAGAAGACTGTGTGCTATAACTATGTCAGAACAAAAGTGGTGAAAACATCCCATTTCTGACTGAGCCAGAGGGCTTCGTTTGTTTCACATCAACCAGGGAATTAAATGATGGACCCAAACTGCAGGTTCTTTGATGATCTGTTCATCATTAACCCGAGTAAATATTTCCCGAGTGCAGTTTCCACTAAAACACCTTTAGAGGATGTGTGTTTGACTGAAAATGACAAAAAAAAGTACCCATTCAGCCCCCAAGCCTTCTACATTCACACCCCATTCCCGTCCAAATGGAGGAGAAGAAAGGGAAGCTTTTAAGGAACTCGAGTCTCTAATTTCCATCTCGTTCCAAACTCATTTGCAGGAAAGTACCCTCCTGATGCTGCCTTTACAGAACACAAAACTAAAAGGACCCGGTCCATTAGGCTGGAGAGGGAGACAAAACCACCTCCTTTTAGCAGAAGGTGTAAAAGTGGAAGTGGACACAGAATGGAGCGATGGACAGACAGAGAAGGAGAGGAAGGTGTAGCCTCATGAGGAGACAGAGACTTTAGGAGGAGGATGGAGCGATGGTTTGATCTCTGACCTCCCAGATCCCTCGCTGCGTGTGATAGGCCCAAGTTCAGAGGGAGGATTAAGGTAATCAAGAGTAGTAATGAGAACAGAGCACACATTCATGATCCCTGACACCCCTAAAAGCTCCACTTCCTCCTTCTGAACATCGTCTTTGTCTGTGGGGGCTTATTTCAGCACGATAGAGAAGAAACACACCAAACAGAGGCTTTCTGTACTGCTGGAGAATTTTCTGGACTGCTAATGTTACATATTTAAAATTCTTTGTCACACATCTTGGTACAGACATCTGACTGGGATGAGTCAGAGGAATGGTTTGCAGTGTAGTAAAATATCCAACTCAATTGATTTACCTGTAATCAAGCTGCATTTGATCACATTTGTTTCTAAAAAAAACAA